TCGTCAAACTTGGAAAAAACAATTAGATGTTTGATTTCACAATTTTGTGGTCATACAGTAAATAATCACTATGCTACCATGAATTAAAATAGCATCTCTATCTTCCGAGGAACCCCAAACATCATTCACAGAAAATACATTTTTCTTTGCAGCAGTAAATTAGAAGACAAACTATTTCTCCTATAGCTTATCAATGAGAAAAAAACAAAGGGTATATATCTAAACCAATTTTTAAAAGTGGCCACATTTGAATCCCAAGTTATTATCTCTTCCACTAAAGAAAAGCTGTCTTTATTACTCAGATTTGCCTGCACACCCATCATTATTAAACATGAATCCTGGACATACCTAATGAGTTAGCTTGAGTTTCTAGAAGGTTAACAAAGTATCATCCACAGCTTTTGTTCTGCTGCCGAGACCCTGGTAAGAAAAGCACGGTAGCAGAGCATGCAGCTTATTACTGTACACACTGGCAGCGAGCTCTAGCACAGGAATTAGGCTCCCGACAGCTGCAGCTCCGTTCCTCTGGCATCACAGGAACGAAGGCGGCTGAAGAGCAGTGGCAGTCCTCCGAGCGAGCGCCTCGTGAGCAGCACTAGCACTCAGGTGAATATGAGCCACTGTACAAGTCGGGGAAGGCTAACTGGAGGAAGCGCTCCATGTTTTTAGCCTCAATGCCAAGGGTTATTCTGAGAATCTATGGTTATGACGTCCTATGAAGTGGAGGCTGCATACTTTTTGTGTCACCTGTCTGGGTGTGAAGTTTCAGAATTCAACAACTGCGCTGGAAGGTGGACAGCATTGCTCTGCACCTAGGGATCACATAACCATGACTCCTCCGTATCCAGACATGAATGGGCAGGCTGAGAGTATGTGTCACTCAGGGCAACAGCAAATCTAATACAAGTGTCAGAGTGCATGTAAATTTCTATTTTCACTGAAAACACCCTTAATACGAAGGTACTAGTATGAAGGAGACCAAGCAACATTGTGAAGCGAGACTTGGCAGTTTGAGCACAGCCTCTGACAGACTTCACACACACACCCCGTAATGTAAACCAAGTTGTATTAAATATGCTTTAATATACTGGACAGGGTGGTGCTGTGGCACACAGCCTACACCTCAACCTGTGGCACCAGCATCCCACACGGGTGCAACATTGAGTCCCAGTTCTACTTCCCATCCAGCTTTCTGCCAATAAGCCTGCGAGAGCAGGGGAGGACAGCACAAGTGCTTGAGCAGGTGCACCCACATGGCTCCCTGCTTCAAAATGACCCAGCTCTGGTTGTGTGGCAGCCATTTGGGCAATCAGCAGATGAAAGATCACTCTTTTTTCTGTAACTCTGCTCTTCAAAAAAATAAACCCTTAAAAATACACACTGGACAGGACTAGAACTCCATATGCAGGTTGTGATTTTTAGGCCTTTACTTGGTATGTTTTTTGTTTCCTCATTCTAAAACAGGAATGTCAATCATATCCTATATGTGAGGTATTACAGGTAAGAACATTCTGGAAAGCTCAGAGACTTAAAGAATGCACATTATTTTCCATAAACTGCTCTTTTGGGGCAGAAGACACCCTTCTAGATTCTCTTTATAAAACACAAAAATAATAATCATTTGAAGAATAAAAAATCACAGTTCTCAAGGAGTTGCTTGAAAGATGATGCACCTCACCTCTGAATTGCTTCTAAGAAGCGTGATCCCTAAATCAATTACTGAACACAATGAGAATGACCAGTGCATTTACTGAATTCTTCAGAAATTAGACATCTGTCTCCAGCTCAGGTAGCTTCACACACACACACACACACACACACACACACACTGCTACAAAATATTAGAAAACTGTCCTGGCAGCCAACATCTTCATGCCTTGCTGATTTTTGGTGAAGGCAGAGTGTAAGAAGTTAAAAAGAAAGGACCATGTGTAAGGATACCGGCAAAGCTTCAAGTGATCTCACAGAACTGGGAGAATAGAAGATGACTGGGGCCGGCAAGGCAGCCAAGAACAGAGAGCCCAAGATCCCAAAGAAAAAGGAGAAAAGGAGCCAGAAGACCTAGTACTGATTGCACCCACAGCATTTACTGATTAAATTGTTTAGGGCAAGAGTCTTACTTTCCAAGCATAAAGTGGAAAATAAAGAAGGCAGAGTAAAGCTCAAAAGAAACGCCTGAGGCTTTCAGATGGAGCTCGCAGAAAACCTCTCCCCTGGGAAGGCAGGAGACCCAGAAGTCGGAATCAAAGACAGAACCAGCCCTGAATCCACTCAGCTCTGACTAGAACAAGATCATCTCCCTGCTATCAGAATACTAAATGTCCAACTTCTCACCTGCCACGGCCAGCATCCAGCAAAATCCAGCAGACACCCTACACACCAGACAACAGAAATCATCTCATTATGTGACTTAGACACCAGTTATTTAGTAAGGACTGTAAAGTGACTGTGATGAAGATGTTTGACAGATGGCAGGATTATACCACAGGACTGCAGTGTGTGAAAACGCGTAAAACAGAACTAGAAAACAACAGCAAATGAAAATAAAACCCTCAGCATAAGGGTTCAGTAGCAAGTGTGGATAAAGATTAATGAGTAACAAGGTAACTTTACAGAAAAAGATCTTCATCCTAAATAAGCTCAAAGCAAATGCACCTGCTTTGAATGTTTGTTTTGGTTGACTATTTTAAACATCAGCCTATTTTGTAGGCAAAATACCACTACACAATTTGAGTTACAAGATTTGGGTTCATGTCCCTCGTGTCACCTACTAGGTAAATTAATTCTGTAAAGTTGGTTAATGTCTCTAAACTGTCTCTTCCCTTCTAGAAGGATTAGACCATAGGCATAGGAGTAAGAGGAAGAGGTTAAAACACCAACCCGGTCCTCACATACTATACTTACAGCATGCTTCTAATGCTCTTGATTACATTCCTAAGCAGACCAGGTACAAATTTCTGAAAAATATCCAAGAATATGTATATGCCCAGTTAAGGTAAATAAGATGAAAGCAAGGGGCTTTTTCCAGTGACCCTGAACAGAAGATACTTGGCTAGCCCTGGATTATGCCTCCTCCCTCTGCCAACAGGGTAAAATGCAGATGTGGTGACCACTTCAGCAGGCGGCACCCATGACTCTGCCTGACTTCACAAGTGCACACCTCTGTACCAGCTCACACTGCTGTTCACTGCTCTATTATGCCCAGATCACAGTGTAAAAATGTCTCTTGGCTATAGCAGGTTAACCAGTTTCAAATAGCACTGTGCAAAACACATGCAAACTATCTACTAAAGACAACACAAGTAAGCTCTCTAGGAAAACTGCTAGCTTAACCACAAAATATCTACAAAGAAAACTCCCAATTACTAGGTGCATTGAGTCATGACAGTAACAGGAAAAAAGTTAATGTTCTGTTCTCCCCCAACACACATAGAACTAAAGACGTTCTGCTTGAAATATCTCCTGAGAAAGAGAGCATGAAGTAAAGATTGGAGTTGATTTATGTGACAAGTCACTATTTTCTCTGGAAGAAAGCTGTTGCCAAGCATGGAAATGAAGAGATGCTACTGAAATGAGGAAGAAATACTGAGCATGAAAAGCAGCAGCTGGAAGTCCAGGTCTGGGAGAAGATGAGCTAAAACACAAATACAAATGCAAGCCCAGAAAACACAGCTACAAGTCCTTCGATGATGTTGGAAAATCTCTGTACTTCGCTTTCTTTGGTTAAAACTTCAATTTGAAACTTGAGGGTAGGAAGCCCCCCTGCCCCAAAAAATGAGCATCTAAGCATCTTTTTGAAAACTTCATGGAACACAGAACATAAGTTCAACTGGTGCAAAACGCACATTTGCAACGCAAGCATTCAAGGTGTTCAGAATGCTGATCTAAATGTGAATTTTAGAAGAACTATACTGGGTTTCAGAAATTTTTGCATCAAAAGAAATTTGTCTTTTAATTCAATTTTTCTAAGAATTTTTGAAGTCAAGACACAGACATACCTGAGACAGAAGACCCCAAACTCAAAGTCACTGGGAGCAGTACTGGTCTCAGATTCTTCTTAATCCAAGGCAACCAGTAACCCAGAACTTACCTTAGGAGAGGCCTGGGAAGGATTAACATTGCTTAACACACGTGTCATCAACCATCCACCTCCACAAGCCAATCCTACTGAGCTCCCACCTACACCCGTCCAACTACAACCCTGAGTCCCCCGATCCTCTTTCCTCCAGTGTCACCATCTAATAACAAAAGTAGCTTAAAAGCCAAGCACTCTGGTACAGAAGCTCTTCTTCAGGGAAAGCTCACATGAAACAAGGTGCAGCTTGTTAGGTTTGCTAGCTATTGGTTAAAATCACAGAAAATATAGTCTTTAAAAATTGTTTTAAATTTATCTTATTTGAAAGATTTGCAGAGAGAGAAAGGGAGAGTCAGAGAGAATCTTCCACCCACTGGTTCACTCTCCAAGCAGCTGCTCCCCAGCCAGAGCTGAGCTGATGTGTGAAGCTGGGAGCCTGGAGCTTCTTACAATTTTCCCATGCAGGTGCAGGGTCCAAGGACTTGAGCCATCCTCCACTGCTTTACCAGGCCGTAAACAGGGAGCTGGATCAGGAGCAGAGAAGCTGGGGCTCTGAACTGGTACTTTTGTGCGATGCCAGTGCCACAATGCCAGTGCCAGTGCCTACCAGCTTTAACCACAATGTAGGTCCCCTTTCTTTCCTTTTGAGTGGACCCTGAGGGAAAACAGGAAGCAGTGGGGAGCAGGGCTGCAGTTGCCAGCTTGGCCACTACTTTAAGATTCCCAAGGACTGCCTGTGCAAGGTGAGGACTGACTAAAATGAACCCTATCTTTTCTTTCCAATGCAGTCAGAAGGCATCAGATGTGCTAAGGCAACAGACACATGAAGAGATGGAATCTAAAAACAAGGAAATGCTAAAGGATCCAGAAAACACTGGAAAAGTATGCAACTATTCCAACAGCATCTACATTGTTAAATACATGCTAAATACGAAGACCAAGCAACTGTATTTATTATGGTTTCATGATAAATTCATCACAGAAGTACAGTTCTCTTTAGGGAACACAAATTTCATATCAGGTTTTCCTTCTTCTTTCCCCGCACATTTCTCCGCCTCCGCCTCTTCTTCGCAAACACGGGCCTGGCTGTCACCAGGACGGTCTCTGCCTCCTCTCCGTCTCCATCACTGGAGCTGCTGCTCGCCGCCCCTTGGCCCTTGGCACGGGCATCTCCCACAGTGCTGTGCACCTTGGGCCGGCTGCCTTGGGTCCGTGGAATTGCTGCTTTCCTCGGCTCCTCATCCTCCCCTGAGTGTGTGTCAGAAGACTCTGAGAGGTAGGCATCCCCCAGGAAACCCCCACATACACTCTGCTGGGAGGAGCCAGAAAGCCTCTTTCTTTTCGAGCCCGGCAGCTCCTCCAGGTGACGCGCCGTGCTTCTCCTCTGCTGTTTGCCTTTGGCCGTGGCCAGGGCCTCGGCTTCTTTGTCCAGAGCAGCAGAGACTGCCTCCATCTCGCTGGCTGCTTCCTCCCTCTCCTTCCTCAGCATACACGTCACAGCTCTGTTAAGTCTCTGGCTCTTAATACGCTTGGCGTCCTGCCTCTCCTGTTGGGCTGATCTAAAGAAAGAGTCAATTCGGAGCTGAGCCTAAAAAGAAAGAATAAATCAGACAAGTAAGTAAAGTTTCTCAATCCAGTGAATGCATTGGATTAGTAACAGACAACACTGATTCATCATCGTCCAATGAACCACTGGCGGGCAGCAAAATCATTCGATCTAACGCTGTCAGCTCAGTCCTCATGATCCACCTCAAGGGCGTCATCTTCTCATAGGTACTCCAGAGTATCCAACAGCCTTTTGTGGACAAACATATCATCTTGTCTTGCAGCAACATGACTTCATAAGGGCTGCTTCTATATCATGCTGTACCCATCAGACAACACCTTCTTCAGCAGCCAGGTTCAGAGGAAATATTAGGAGCTGTAACAATACTCATACCTTTTGTTCAGCAAGTCTACTCTGAGAAAGAAACTCCTAAGAACCAGTTAAATACAAGAAGAGTTATATGACTAATGCTCCTCACAACATTATGAAAATTAAAGTGCAACAAATGAAGTGAACTAATTAATTTAAAACTCTTTGATGAAATGGGCTAAAATGAAAAAGTTCTGGTCATTTGAAATTATAAAATCATCCAAAAAGCAGGACAAAAACTTATTAACCAGAAGGAAGTTTAAGCTTATCAAGTTCTGCATGCATATGATAACAAGTTAATGTGAGAAAAATAAAATAAACCTAATACTAATATCTAGGTTAGAAGAAATAGATAATAAGTATTTTTAATTTATTTTCTTCACTTTCCAGTTTGAGAGACGTCAACTTGGATGGCATACTGTAATGAAAAGGATGAGAGGCAGTACAATAAAACTTATCTGAAATTAAAGATTAATTAGTTACTAAACGAACCAGTATTCCTTCTCATCAGTCCTGTAATGTTCCTAATAGATAAAAGTCACTAGATAAATAGCAGGAAACTCCTGGAAATGCTGTCTTTTTGATTTTGCTCATGTTTCTTCAAAATTAACCAAACCTAATTAAAGCTGACTTGGTTATCCTATAAGAGACATCATCAGAGTGGGCATCTGGTGTAGCAGTTAGGACAGTGATTAAACACACGCCACATTGGGGCACCTGGGGTCAACACCTGGCTCCGGCTGCTCCCTGTGCCTTCCAGCTAATGCAGGAACCAGGAGGTCGAGGGGCTGGCTTGGGAGACCTGCACGTGCAAGGCCACTGTGTCCCTGCTGCCAGAGTCAGAGCCTCCGCAGCCACTGCAGGCCTGTTGCAGTGAACCAATGGATGGGAGTTCTTTCTTTCTGGCTCTCTCTGTTGTTTCTTGGCCTCTCAAACAAACTTTTAGACATTTTTTGCTGTTGTTCCTGTAACTGTAAGATCTAAGAGATGGCCTCATTTCTGCTAGGCAGTCGCTTTGCATACATATGGTATGAATTGCTTCTGAGGAGAGAGAATGCTAGTTTTTTCCAATCAGGAAGACAGGCAGACAAAGCAAAACATAATTACTTATTATAGGACTTTGGAGGGTCACAAAAAAGATCTGCTTTCTCCTCAAAAATTTCTCCTACTGATACCCAATAATGACTACATGTCTACCTTTAAAGATTCAATTACAAGCTTGAAACATGCTGGAACTTTGAGACTTTACTGCTCAGAAGTGTTCTGCTTGGGACACTTCCTAGGTGCTATGAAAAATGAAGTTACTCTTAAAGAGTAATACATTTCATCAGAAACACCATGGTCTGGAATCAGTTATTACATCTTTTTTTTCAAATTCCAACTGAGCAAGAAAATACAGCCAAATGCAATCCCAAAAGGAACATCAGAAAATGAAGAGAAAGTTTTAATTTTACTGAAAGGATCATGGTACCAAAAGAGCTCGCTGGCTTCCACTGGCTGCCAGCATAGCCTGAATAGGCTGACTCTTCACCCCGGACAGGGCAGAGCCTACTGTACTTACCTGCTGGGCATTCAGTTGCTTCAGCACCGGAAACAAGGATTCGTCCGTCTTTGTCCTGCCCCACCCGAAGTACCGCTGACAGAACATGCAGGCAGTCAAGAACTACACACTTTCAAAGGTCGCGAGAAGCCACCCTGCTGCCATTCCCACAGGTGCCGATGAGAACGCAGCACTCAGCACGGCCACCTGGCCACATTCTCCTCATGCTCCCAGACAAGACACACTCACCGCATTTCAGGACATCAAAACTTGGGAAAAAGTTAACTTACAGGTAAAAAAAATAGTTTCAGATATCTATATTTCTTTTTTCAAAAGAAGAAAAAATATTGGTTAGATTAATTCCACTGCATGTTAACTTCTATCCAAATCATGTTTTAAGTGCACAGAATGGAAACCTAGTTTGTTGGGTTTCTTATAAAACAGACAAAATTAACCTTCTCTATTCTTCCAGAATAAATAATACTGGACTCTGTGGTTTTATTTAAGGTGCTATCACTGTTCACATCAAAATCATCTCTTTAAGGAGAGGGGAATGGAAACTAAAAGGAGAGCCCTGAATAAACAGAATTAAGAAAAAAAATGGGGGCTGGTACAGTGGCATACTGGGCTAAGCCTCTGCAGGCAAGGCCAGCATTCCGCATAGGGGTTAGTTCAAGTCCTGGCTGTCCACTTCTGATGCAGCTCCCTACTAATGGCTAGGGAAGCAGTGGCGGAGGGCCCAAGTTCTTGGGCACCTGCAACAACAAGGTGGGTTCCCAGCTTCACACCGGCCCAGCTCCAGCAGCTGCTGCCATTTGGAAAGTGAACCAGCAGATGGAAGGTCTCTCTCCTGTGTCTCTCCTTTTTTCTGCAGGCCTGCCTTTTCAACTAAAGAAATCTCTCCTTAAAGATTTATTTATTTTTATTAAAAAGTCAGATATACAACAAGAGAGAGAGGAAGAACTTCCATCAGCTGATTCACTCTCCAAGTGACAGCAACAGCCAGAGCAGAGCCAATCTGAAGCCAGGAGCCAAGAGCTGCTTCTGGGTCTCCCACATGGGTACAGAGTCCCAAGGCTTTGGGCCATCCTCAACAGCTTTCCCAGGCCACAAGCAGGGAGCTGGATGGGAAGTGGGCTGCTGGGACACAAATCAGCGCCCCTATGGGATCCTGATGCATACAAGACAAAGACTTTAGCCACTAGGCTACCACACCAGGCCCAAGATATCTGCCTTAAAAAAAAAAAAAAAAGACCCAAGTTTCTACACTGAACACGTATTTGCCTCAGTGTCTCTTGCTTCGAGAGGTTAAAGGATATTCCCGAATCTTGTCCAGGTCAGGCTTCCCCCACAGGAAGGCCCCTCTGGAGTCATCCACCACGGGTCTCAGGTAAGCCTCAGCCACGGCGGGGTTCGGGAAGCCCGGCGTGAGCTGCAGCTTGCGCAGTTTCTTCTTCACCTTCGTGTCATGAGGGTTGGGCCTGATCTTTTTATTTTTCTGAGCCTCCTGCCACCACTCTCTGTAAAGAAAACAATCACATGTAAATCATCTGTAAAACAATCATTTGTAAACACTGCACAGTTCAGACTATAAACAGCTGCACTTGAAGTTGGGAACTGTAAATTCAAGTCCTAACCCTGAAATAAAGTATGTGCTGTATAAATTTTAATTTTACTACATTGTTATATTCCTTGATGTACTGAAAGAGAAGAAATTTACTGAATTCTTATCTGTGCTCGGCGAAGCACCCACCTGCCCATGACTGCACAGCAAGGGGCCTGCCCTGCCCCCGCCCTCAGAGACAAGGAGCCGGAGGTGATGGGGTGGATACAGGACAGGACGTCCCAGCCAGGCCAGCCAGACCCGTGCCATCTTCCCATAGTCCCTCCCGATTCCATGGCACGGAGGTCACAGCCTCTCTGCTCTCAGCAGAAAACAGAAGTGACATTTCTGTACTGCTCACCTCAAACCAAAGAGCTTCATGAATCCAGGACTGTTTAACAACATTTAAAAATGCTCTGAGCATGCCACAGCTCAAAAACGCAGCACCTGGCTGCATAGTAACACATCACATCAATTTGGGGCAAAGCGTGAAAAGTAAACAGATCAAACCATCAATATTATCAGTTCTTGTGCCATTAATACTCTAAATGAGGACACAGCCAGCTGCTCATTTTCTTTTTTCCCAATATTTCCTGTTCTGAGATTGCATGGCGATGCAGGTGAAAGGCAGCCCTACCCTCTTGGACGCGCCTGCCTGGAGTCATGTGGGCACTGAGACTGACAGGCATGCTGCTATGCTGAGCACACAGGCTGCCCCTTCCACCCACTGTCGCTAGGAAGCCCAGCCTCATGCAGAGGGCTACCTGGAGAGGACCCAAGGCCTGCAGCCCACAGTCCGACTGGCTCACAGCTGACTGCGACGCCATCCATGGACTGAGCTGTCTCATGGTGATCGTCGAGCTCAGCTGAGCTGTTCCACATGAATGGAACAGAGATGACACACACCCACTGGGCAAAACTGATTGACTCTTGCTGTCTGAAGCCACTGAGGTTTAAGGTAGCAACCAGAAAAAACATAGGAAAGAAAGTACTTAGGAAAGAAAGTAAGTGGTATATGAAACACTGACATACAAACATAACCCTCATCAATCCACACACTCGATAGAATCTTGAAAAAAAAAAAGACACCTGCATCTCATGTTCCTGGGCATCACCCACCTGCCAGTGTTGGCTCAGCCAGTGTTTCACACCAACGCAGGAGTGCCACCTAGTGTCCAAAAGACTAGTTGCAGTCTTTGTTGAAATACAACGGTAGTAACAATCTTCATTGCTTTTACATTTTTTCCAATGTAATACTGGAGGAATATCTTTAATTCAATCCCACTTTACTTTTGAATGTTTGTACTTCAAATAGTAATCATGTCTGGCATCCAGGAGAATCGGCACAACATATTGTCAGCTAGTCAATCCAGAAGCACCCTGGCTCCTTAAAGCAAGGATGGCACCTGTCCATCTAGCCATATGGAAGAGGTTTTAACTGTGACAAACTGAAAAGATTCACACTCAGGCCACAGCAGTGGGGACGTGGCAGGAAACTGCTGTTACTCTATATCATTTGTATTAGGGTTACTTGGAAATTTGGACTCAAGTTTTTTAGATATTCTTTCTCTCCAAGAGGATCCAAAGTTTTTCCTGAAATCCCTCCAAAGTTATTGCCAGAAGCCAATCCCAGAGTAAAGCTCTAGAAAGGAATACACTGTGTGGGCCAGCCTGTCTTCTGCAGGACCCAAGGCATTTAGTATGAAAGAACAGGCAGCCAGCGCCGGCTCTTACAGAAGAGGGGAACAGAAGGGAGTGACCTTCCCAAGGTCACTGGCTGCTAGCCCTGCTTCCCTGCATTGCACTCTGTTGATCCTAAACCCGCTGAGTCACGCGGGCTGGGCCAGCTGCTGCCCACACTCAACAAGTGAGAAGACCAAAGGCAGACACTGCTAACCCCAACTCAAAAACACACAAACAACTCAGGGAGCAACAGATGAGCTAAGCCTGGTGAACAAGCATGGTGTGATCAGCCTATTCCCTAAGTAAGAACAGAAATTTCAATACACACAAAAAACTCATTTTCACTAGTGGTTGAAAAGTCAGAGACCACTGTCATTTACTCAAATAATATTTAGGCAAGAACAGAAAGACATGTTTATGGACACTCAAATCAATCTCATTCTTTTAATCAGGAACGATCAAGGAAGGCTACTTGGAGTCATTAGAAACAGTATTTTAAATCCATTCAATTCTGATAATATGCCTTGCCCTATCACCAAATGCCAGGTAACATAAATATTACACAGCATTATTCCATTCTTACAAGATAATGTCACACACATGCACACAGGTTATATGAGTGCACATACTCAGAGAGAAATCCAAATTACATGAGCCAAATGTCAACTGTACTCATTACCTCAAGTTCGCATTTTATTTCAGTGTTTCTGAACTCTGACACTTCAGGCCAGTACATGCCTATGTTTTTCAGACTCCGCAGATGAAACTGGAGAGAAATCTAAGTGAACATTAAATCAACCATGACCTGATAGCAGCCAATAACAAGCTGATGGTTAAAAGATGCCATCATGGCACTAGTGTACGCCAATAATTCCATGGATGAGAAAAAAAATTGTAAGTACAGTCCCCTTTAAAACAGAGAAGAGGGATCTTAAATATCTAGGAATTAAGTTAACTAAATATATGAAAGACCTCTATGACGAAAACTATAAAACATTAAAAAAGAAAATAGAAGATGATCTTAAAAAATGGAGAAATTTACCCCCAACTTCCTGGATTGGCAGGATCAAAATCATCAAAATGACCATACTACCAAAAGTAATACACAGATTCAATGCAATCCCAATCAAAATCCCAACAACATTCTTCTCAGAAAAGATGATACAAAAGTTCATCTGGAATCACAAGAGACCACAAATAGCCAAAGCTATCCTGAAAAAGTAAAAATAAAACTGGAGGAATCACAATTACAGACTTTAAGACATACTACAGAGCAGTGGTTATCAAAACAGTCTAGTACTGGTACAGAAACAGAGGAGAAGATCAATGGAACAAAACAGAAACACCAGAAGGGAGCCCACACATGTATAGTAAACTAATCTTTGACAAGAAAACTGAAAACAATCCAGGCAAAAACCATGGTCTATTCAACAAATGCTATTGGGACAACTGGACAGCAGCTTGCAAAATTAAGAAACAAGACTCACACCTGTCACATTATACGAAAATCAGCTCTAAATGGATCAAGAACCTAAATCTACACCCAGAAGCCATCAAACTGTTAAAGGAAAACATAGGAAGCACTCTCCAAGATATAGGAACAGGGAAAGACTTCTTAGAAAAGATGCCAAAAACACAAGCAACCAAAGGCAAAATGAACAAATGGGACTACATCAAACTAAAAAGCTTCTGTACAGCAAAGGAAACAATTAACAAAGTGAAGAAGCAACCAAGAGACTGGGAGAACATTTTTGCACACTATGCAAGTGACAGGGGACTAATATACAGGATTTACAAAGATCTTCAGAAACCCAGGGATAGCAAAAAAAAAAAAAAAAAAAAAAAAAAAAAGTAACAAATTAGGCAAAGGAAATGAACAGACATTTTTCAGAAAACCAGATTAAAATGGTTAACAGACTTATGAAAAGATGCTCAGGCTCCCTAGCCATCAGAGAGATACAAATGAAAACCACACTGAGGTACCACCTAACTCCAATGAGACTAGTCTACATTCAGAACTCAATGAACAGCAACTGTTGGCGTGGATGAGGGGAGAGAGGCACTCTCCTTCATTGCTGATGGGAGTGTAGGCTAGTAAAATCACTATGGAAATCAGTATGGTGAGTGCTTGGAAAATTGCAAATAAACCTGCCATATTACCCAGCTATCCCGCTCCTAGGAATATACCCAATAGAAATGAAATCTGCATACGAGAAGGGGATCTGTGATCCTATATTTGCAGCAGCACAATCTACAATAGCAAAGACATGGAAACAATCCAGATGTATGTCCAAAGTAGAGAGGTTAAAGAAACTGTGGTACATCTACTCCATGGAATATTATTCAGCTATTAAGAAGAATGAAATTATTCTATTTACAACCAGGTGGTCCCAATTAGAGACCATTATGTTCAGTGAAATGAGTCAATCACAAAATAACAAACACCATATGTTCTCTCTTACCTAAGGAAACCAGCATGGAAAGTGTAACTTCAATAATCCGATCCATACTGTTTTTATTTTTTTGGCTGCATCCCATATGTTTCGATGTTTTTTATTTGTTTTATTTATTCCAAATACATTCTTTTCTCTTGTCGAATTCACTGCTGACTCATGGATTACACAGTAATCATTTTTACACAGCATCACTTTTCCCAAGAGACTTTGTGTTTCCTTTTTGTCACCCATGTGTTGGTTACTCATGGTCCTGTAATTTATTGTTGTTATTGTTGTTGTTGAAGCTGTTGTTTTAACTCATACCAGTTGCTGACCTTGTTTCATGGCTTCTCAATTACGGAAATGTGTAGTGATGGAGTACTGGGGTCTAGCATATCCAGATGTGAGAGTATAATGCAACATGCATCCCTGCTATCAGATGAAAGATAGATTTCCAATGAAATTGTTGGAAACGTGTAGACAATGGGATGCTGGACTATCTGACATTGTCTGTACCAGCAATGTCAGGGTACACTTTAATAAGAGACTGATAGAATGATGATTCTTTATGAAGGACTACACCATTGTAGTAAAATGGGGAAAATCTACCAGTGGGTAGGAGTTTGGAGGGGAGGATCCCAGTCTATATAAAATTGTGCCACATGATTCAAAAATTCTAAATAAAAAGAAAAAAAGATGCTATCACAACCCTGTGAACACACTCAACCCCACCGACCTGTACGCACCCACAGGGCAGGTTTTAGGACACTGAGTTTATGTTTCCACATTGTTTACATCGCTTCCTGGGCACACTCTGAGAAGCCACCTGCTTAAGCTCCTGACCTGTGCTGCCTCAGATTCTCCCAAACAAGAAGTGTACCCCACACCCTGCAAGCCTCTGGACTCAGGAAGCGCCGAGTGAGACTCCTCTATTTAACACAGCATGGCATGCCCAGGGGGAGGGCACTCAGCAGCCTGGCCGCAAGGGTTCCATGCGAACACTGAGCCCACACATCACCCCCATGAGCCAGGGAACCCCTGCAGGGCACTGTACGTGACTCACTCATCTTCTCTATCCACTGAGCTTGCACAGTGCCTCATACGCAGAAGCTACTCAGTAAATGTCTGAACGACAACATGGCTACCTTCATCATCCTGTGAAACTCATGGGGCTGACTCATGCTGACCTGCCCATAGGCACCACTGAAATAAGAAATTGATAATGATTACATCAAAACTCTTAAAGAGGTCTTTTATAACCAGAAAAAAAGCAAACTTTATTAATGCCTACTGAAACTTCCTGCTTTTTCTCAATGAAAATTGATTTGTGACAATTTATGATATAAATAACACTGGTAGTTATTAGCTAAGTATTTATATATAAATAACCAAAGACATAAAGAAAGAGCCCAACACTACAGCTTAGTGGCTAAAGTCCTCACTTTGCATGTGCCAAGATTCCAAAAGGGTGCCAGTTTGTGTCCTGACTGCTCCATTTCCCATCCAGCTCCCTGCTCGTGGCCTGGGAAAGCAGTAGAGGACAGCCCATAGCCCTGGAATCCTGTACCCATTGGGAAGACACGGAAGAAGCTCCTGGCTCCATTTAGCTAAAGCTGGTGCGGCCACTTAGGGAGTGAATCAATGGATGGAAGATCTTTCAGTATCTCCTTCTCTCTGTAAATCTACTTTTCAAATAAAAATAAATAAATCTTTTTTAAAAAAAGGAAAAGAAAAAGAACATAAAAAAAAACTTACGAAAATTTGACAAGAGGTTCCAAGCCATGCCCAGGGAACTCATTAAGAATTTCCATGGCTGTAACACATCCCACAGTCGGTATCCCTTCGGTGTAATCACTCCCAAGCAAATAGGCCAAATTTATTAATTTACTCCGGTCCAGCCCTGATAACAGCAACAATTATTATGTTAAAAAATTTTAATTTACAAAAGTATATTACATATATGTAGAAGAATTTCAAATTATTTTTGTGTACACTTATTAAGGGTATCTCAAAAAGTTCACGGGGGAAAATGGACTTTAAAGGTAAATTTATTTTGGTGAACAAAGGTTTTGAGATCCAGCACAACACACATTTTCCACACATGCTTCGAGATCCCTCATATATTCTTGTATCCCCTCAAATACCAGCCAAAGTTGTCTTTTTATTGGAACCCATGAGCAAGAGCTGGGGTCAGGACTCGAAGGGGAAATATTAACTCCAGAAAAGGCATGAACATACGTGGACTTCATTTTCTTAGCTCTGATTTTCAAACTATTCCTCCACATAAACAAAAGAGCATATATAATACCTTGTCTTAATTAGACTTCCATCATTCTCATTCCTGTCCCAGACGATTTTCCGGGAAAGCCTGGGGTCCCAGGACAAATTCTGAAGGAAGCTTCCAGAAAGCCTCATGCTCTGCAATGTCTTACCTAGTTGGTTGTGGAAGTCCACATACTGGTAATACTCCACAAACTTGTTTTTATTAAAGAAGTTTTTGTAGACGTGTCGCGCTCCAAACAGCCATATATCACTATCATCTGTGATAGTTCCGGAAGTCTGGTCAGTGAGGTCCAGGATGGCACACTGGGCCTCTGCTTCCATGGGAGCCTCAATGTAGGGAACCCCAAAGAGGCGAAGAAGTTCCTGCAATGGCAGACACATGGCAAGTGGCTCCAGAAATCTGCACTGCTGCACATTCACAAGGCGGCAACGTGACACCTTGCCTTACGGGGAATATGAGGAAAAGGTTATTAAATGCCTGGGGTTCGGTGGCCTACCTGGCTTTCCAGAAACATCTGTCCTGTAACAGTAGCAGCGACCCGCTCCTGCTGCTGTTTTTGAGCTTTCAGTGAATTCTGCTGCTCTAAGAGGTCATTCTCCAGTGCTTCCAACTCCTCCTATAGAGTAATTTTTCACTTGTACATGATTATGTTAATAAGCCACTTCAGGTTGGTTACAAAAATCAGCTCACTTAGTCTGACCAAAATTTCTAATAAGCCTTTCCTCCTAATAGAGTATCCCACTTGGGTTTCTGAACAAGATTCTGTCATACATGCATCTTTTGAGTTCCCTCACTCAAGAAAAATGGGTTCCTACCTAAGTCCCCCATATGGAAAAGGAGCCATCAGGAACAAAGTGTCCTACAAATACTAAAAGACACCACTCATCCAGCAACTTCCAATTAATTCAAAAGATACATGGCTGCCCAGCAGAAGGTTAAAATCCAACGTGTATCATTACCAAATCAATGTCTTGCCATTCATTGGGTGAATCCCCTGCATCACGTGGCTCCAAGTCTTCACTTTCAGAGTCGCCCTGTGGGAGGCTCTCGGCACCACAGGCAGCTTCTTCATCCTTGGATCTTATGGGTATCGTGTCACTTTGCTCAGAGGGAGGCTTGGAAGCTTCGCTCAGTCCATCACCAAGTCCATCACTAGCCACACTCTGCACTTCAATGAAACTTCCTGTAGCAAAATAATAAAGTCACCATATCTCACTAAAATCATCAAGAGCTTCCCGGAGCATCCTGAAAAAACTGTATACCCCAGAAAAGAAAAAAAGAAAATGAATAAAGAAAAAGCATCAGACAGTTAAATTACTATGAAATAGATTTCATCACAAATGCCTCTAGGTTCAAAACAAGCCTTGTCAATGAGATAGGCTGATGCGTCTCTGATAGTAGGGCAATGCTGTGAGGCAGCAGGTAAAGCAGGCATCGCATACAGGTTTGGTTGTATCCTGGCAGCTTCACTTTGGATTCAGCTCCCTCTTAAAGGCCTGGGAAAAGTGATGGAGAAAGGCTCTGCCAGCCAGCTGGGAGATCCAAGAGAAGCTCATGGCTCCCGGCTCTGGCCTGCTCCAGCACTGGCCAGCACTGCTTACCTCTCCAAAGTAAATCTGTGGATGGAAGCTCTCTCACCCTCCTTCAAAATAAATGAATACATCTTAAAAACGCAGGGGGGAGGGAGAAAGAACCGAAAGATTCGCAAATTAGCTTTATACAAATGTTTTGGTCAATTAATATTGTTTCTAAAACTTCAAAGAGAAGCATTATCAAAATATGATCATGAGGTGGCATTTAGGCTGTTTTACTATTAAGGAAGAAAGCCTTGACTTTGCGGGCAGACTCCAAGACAAGCAGCTCTTCCACACTGACTTTCCTATCACCTTTCCCCTAAACACGGATTGGTTCCCTTCCTTCTCTCGAGGCGGAGGAGGCTGGCTCGGTCTATCCAGCTGTAATGGGTAAGGCAAGCAGCTCGGGAAGCAGCTGCACAGGGCCGGGCTGCAGCAGAGGAACCAGCTGGGACCAAGGAGGCGGCCAGAGTGAGAAGATAAATCAATATGCTGAAGACAATGGGAACCAGGTTTCTCACTGTCAGGGAAGTTAGGAAGAAGGGATGTGCCTAAGTCCTGTGGTGGTTTGGAAACAAAGACGTCGATGGGGACTGGCACTGTGGCATTGGCATCCCAAACATGGGCAATGCTTAGACTCCCTGCAAATGTGCCTGAGAAAGCAAGGGAGGATGACCCAAAGCCTTGGAACTCTGTACACATCTGGGAGACCTGAAAGAAACTCCTGACTCCTGGCGCTGGCTTCACCCAGCCCTGATCAAAGATCCTTCTCTAACTTTTCCAAATAAATAAATACTTAAAACAAAAAATGCAGAAACTCACAAATTTTAATAAAAGAGCAAGACATGCACATTTACCCATGCACACATGGTCACACATGTGTACACAAACATTCCCACTGTCCCAGAGCGGGCCTGAACAATGAGATCAGCAACTGTGAAGGCACCCAGCGCCCAGCACCCAGTGCCCAGCACCCAGCACCCAGCCAGTGGTTTCTAAACAGCAGACACCACTTCCAGGAACCAGGGTTTCTTGATTGAAACAAACAACAACAACAACAAACAAAACAAACCATGGTTCCAGGACTTGGGCAGAAAGATTATAAAATAATCTGGAATATCTTGGCCCAAAAGTAAGGAAACATTCAAAATATCATAGAGGGATTGTCAAAAGATCAAGGAATTAGCTGAAAACATTTCTCCATGGGCTAACGCTGGACAGCTCATGGACGTACTCAGTTAGGCTCATTCTGGATAACAATTTGGCAAACAAAACAGGAACTCTGAAGTCCTGAGTGATTAAAAACAAAAAATGGGGAAAGGTCTTCCTGAGTCAGATGCCAACTAATAAGTATGTATGGAATGATGAGAAAAGTATCAGCTGGGGCCGTCACAGTAACAATTTATTTCAGAAGAAAATCAGCCATGATGCTAAAACATGTATGTTCAGGAAAGTATATTCACATAGCTCCAAATAGTCCTTTCCTCAAAAAAATGACTAAAGGCATTGTGGCCTAGCAGATAACACTGCTGCTGGCAATGCTGGCATCCCACATGGGTACCAGTTAGAATATGGACTGCTCCACTGCCAATCCAGCTCCTGCTAGTGTGCCTGGGAAGGCAGAGGAAGATGACTCAAATGCTTGGGTGCCTGCACTTATGTGGGACAGGTGGTTGGAGTTCCTGGCTCTTGGCTTCTGCCTGGCCCAGCCCTGACAGCTATAGACATTTGCAACCATTCGGTTCGTGAACCAGCAAATGGAAGATCTATCCTCTGTGTCTTTTCTCTCCCTAACTCCACCCTCCAAATTCAAGTAAATATAAATCTTCTAAAAAAAAGATTGGGGGTCAGGACAATGGCTCAATTGGCTAATTCTCTGCCTGCAAGAGCCAGCAACCAACATGGGTGCAAGTTTGTGTGCTGGCTGCTCCACTTCTCATCCAGCTCCCGGCTTGTGGCCTGGGAAAAAAGAAGACGGCCCAAAGCCTTGGGACTGTGCACCCATGTGGGAGAATTGGAAGACACTCCAGGCTCCTGGCTTTGGATTGGCTCAGCTCCAGTCATTGCAGACATTTGGGGAGTGAACCAGTGAATGAAAGATCTTTGTCTCTTTCTCTCTGTAAATCTGCTTTATAATAAAAATAAATAAATTTTTAAAATGATCAATTACAAAAAAGAAACATTAAGTTTAAAGTAGAGAAACAGCAGCTATTAGGGAATAAGCTCTGTGTGTATGGTTGGTTCCTGTTATTTATAGAACAGTCTACACATTCGCTGTACAAACTAAATTGCCCATCACTGAGCCACTGCTCTGACACATATGAACACATTTCACATATACTGCTGATTCCTAAAATAATTCTTCTTAGCAGACTATGTTTCCTGTATTTTCCAAAAAAGAAACAAAGTTTTGAAGTGCTAAAGGACTTGCTGGAGGCCACCAAATCAGATGCCAGAGTTGGGATTCAAACTTGATCCAACTGGCCAAAGGCTACAGTTTCTTATTGATTCTGGAGTTACAGATGCATCTTATGAGTAGGCAATGGTGCAAACAGGGAATCTAAAAATAATGATTAGCAGTCTACAGATTTGTCTAGATACAGGAATACACAATAATTAATATGTACCCAGAGAAAGAGTGACCAAACCAGAGAAATAGAGAAAAAAACAAATGTGAAAATGCTAGCCACATAGGTACTAGATGAAGGAACCAGAATGTTTTGCAATTCCCTGTCAACTTTATCAAGTCCGTAATTATTTCAAAACACAAAGTAAAAGAAAAAAAAACCTAGAAGGAATTCCAAATATTCCCTGTCTTTAAAAGCAACAAGTACAGGTAGTTGGTGCCATTTGAGGGTCCTGCAATCCACATCAAAGAGCCTGGGTTCGAGTCCAGGCCCTGGTCCTATTTTGGTTTCCTCCGTCGTGCAGCCTGGGAGGCAGCAGGTTGTCTAAGCACTGGGCGCCCGCCATCTATGTGGGAGAGTAGGGTTCAGTTCCTGGCTCCTGGTTCCAGCCTGGCCCAGCCCAGCAATTGTGAGCATCCGTGGCATCAACTAGCCAAGGAAAGGTCTCTATCTGCCTTTCAAATAAAGAATAAATATATATAAAAAAAATAACTGAAAGCACAGACAAGCAGGTAGAGTTGAGGTTCCAGTTCCAGCTGGATGTCCATGGAAAGCTCACTTCATCTTGTTCTGTCTCTCTCTGTCCTAAGTGGAGATGAGCCCACAGGAAAAGGTCTCCGAGATCCCACAAATGTCAAGTCATACCACTCGGTGTCGCTGAAAGAGCACGTCACTTACCGTCAGATTCACTCTCCTCAGAGTCGATTTCCACTGGTTGCATGGGCTTGGGGAAGGAAATAAAATCTGGGCCTGAAGAATCAACTGCCTCCTGTGGCTGGGGAATTTTCAGAAAACTCTCACACTCTTCTACATTTAGCAGTTCTGCGTTTCCAGCATTGCTTACCCCCTCTGAAGGCATGCATTTTACATCACTCACTTCTGGGGAGCTGACAGCGCCTACGACTTCAGAGGCTGAGTTTTGTTCACATTTTGTCTCATCACCACTAGAAAAAACAGAGGAACCAGACTTCCTGTGAGCTGCACAGGGATCTTTCTGCAGCTCCAGCTCGTTGGTGGGTGTCTCATTCCTGGACATCATTCCTCCTGCACCTGGTGGAGGTGCCAGAGTCAAGGGTCCGGGCACGTCGCTGGGCAGGACCACCTGGTTACTTATTGGCAATGGATCTTCTCTCTTCTCACTTGTCTGAAAAGCTTCACTCCCCTCACAAACAGGTGGCTTTTCTTCCTTGGGAGTATCAGATTTGCTGGCTTCAGGAAAGACAGCACTTGACAAATGAGCCAAGTCTAGTGGCTTTTGCTCATTTTTACTGTTGATGTCACGCCCATCCACAGCGGCCCCACTGGCTGATGGAGGACTCATGGTGAACAGCATTCCTTTTCCACCTCCCACATGAAGACCCGCCTCATCCTCCCCTTGGGAACTCTCCACTCCAGGTCCTTCTGGCTGCACACCATCCCCAGCACACAGTTTTACATCCTCATCCTCCTCAAGGGCCCTCTGAATAGCTGACAGAGTGCGCGGAGATATGGCGCCCTTATCACCAGGGGCAGACATGCCCTTCTCACTGCACTGGCTGCGACTGGCACTCTCCAACTCCTCATCAGAGCTGCTTCCCAGCATGGCAGCCTGCAGAGCCAGCAAAGTCCTTGGTGAGGGAGGCGTGCTGGCAGGCTCTTCCTCTGGCTTCAGTTTCTCACATGGAGATGACTTCATGGCAGAAGGCACACTGTGCATTTTGCTGGAAGAGGGAAGAGACTCTGAATCCACCTTTGCAACTTGCTTAGCTTGAAGACCTTCAGAAAAACGAAAACATTCCTCACTATCCAGTTTCAAAGTGTGACAATGCACTCTCAGTAAGATGAGGACATTACTGATTCTCATAATAAAGATATAAACAGCATTTAATCAGCAATGATGAGTTAATTTCATCAGTAGGCTTTAAAGAGGTTTAACACTATAGTCATTAACTCACTGATACCATCACCAGCATATAAGTAGGATTTACTACCATTACCCAGGGGAGGGAGTTTATAAATTCAGAACCATCACATATTTAACCACTAAATAAATGATGATAGTCAATACCTTTTATTAAGATGTAATGTGAAGTGTCTTCAGAGACCACACGCCTCGACTCTACTTCCCTCAAAAAGCCCCCTTCCTCTTCATATTGCTTTTGGATTTGTCCTGAATGCTGCTGATTCATTTCCTTTTGGACATTTTCTATATGCTGGTTTAGGTAGTTTTTTTTAAGCAAGCCTTTGAGTTGGTACTGTGAAAAGTCATTGGACTCCTAAAGGTAAAACAGAAAACTACCGTTTCATATTCAATACAAATATTATTATATTTCTCAAGAGTCACAGGGTTGGGAGTGTCAAGTGTGGGACTAAAAGCAGTTGGATTTGTTACCCATTGGTTCTATACCGTTACAACCAATACTATTACTATCATTAGTTACCAACATCACATTTGAACAATGCATTTAGATGATAAACTAACCCAAGAGAGGTGACTTAAAACTACTGTCCCCTAACAAACCCTACGGATCCAATGAGCTGCTACTTCAAGCTACTCCAATCCCAGAGAATCAAGGTTTTAGAAAGAAACTGAAGAAGCGCAAACTATTAAGGACTCTGATTCTCCCGCTCCTTTTCACTTTTGTTTGCATAACCCAAATCCTATTTTCTCAAGTATTACAGAGAGATTCTCTCAAACTCAAGAAATAAAATGCTTGACAGGCAAGTTGAGTCTGCATATTTCCCCTGAGATGACAGTAAATTTATTTCTACATATCCAAAGACCCAAGAATATAATTTCTGTGCACCTTGCTATGTGGAAAAACAGAAAGGAATAATGGCAAGAGAAACTTATCATGTCTTTCTCATATTTCTGAAATCAATTTTAGGAAGTGTTCAAAAATATACAGAAAGTTTTAAAACATCAAATTAATCCATTAGGGAAACACTGCTGCAAAATTTATTTTCTATACTACAATGACTTAAAGGAAAACTATGTTAGAAATGATAGATGGCAGTGGGGGCTGGCATTGTGCCCCAGTGGGTAAGTCTGCCACAAAAAACAACCAACATCTCACATGGGTGCCAGTTCAAGCCCCAGCTGTTCCATTTCTGATCCAACTCCTTGTTAACGGTCTGGGAAAAAGTGTAGGATGATGCAAGTGTATGGGCCCTGCCCCCCACATGGGAGGTCCACTCCGGCTTTAGTCTGGTCCCATGATGGCTGTTGCAATCATCTGGGAAGTGAACCAACGGATGGAATAGCTATCACTCTCTCCCCATCTGTCTCTCTCTCTCTAACTACTTTATAAAAAAAAAAACAGATAAATATTTTAAAAAAATAGATGACAGTAGAAAAAGAAGCAAAACCCATTCACTAGCAACAAGTATTTAATGGTAGCTTTGGTAAATAATTAATGTACATAATCAAAAGATACGCTCAACAACAGACAACACAATCCCACACACCATTCCCATTCAGTTTTCTCTGGCTAACAAACTACAAGTTGAAAAGTTTCTATGCCCAAAAGGGCTAACATCTCTAGGGCATCACACACACACTTACACACATACATATACATATATATGTAAATGATTTAAAATATCTTTCATGAACTAAACTAAGAAATGAATCACTAAGCATAGACTAAACATTCCCTATGTCCTTCTGAGCTGGGGGTTACAAACACAAAAGAGTACAAGAGGCCCATTTTAGAGCTAAGATCCTTAAGTGACATGACAGGACCCTGGGACACAGGAGGAGAAAACAGCTAGTCTTGGACACCAAGTCACAAAAACACTTGACTAAACTCTTATAAGAAATCACTTCAGCTAAACACTTATAAAAACAAGCTTATAGATACCTGAAGCTCAAAGGATCTTTGAGATAATACTTGCTATACACTGGAAACACTTCTTAATTTTCTCTTCTTTCTAATGAGAAGTCTTGCTAAGGTTTTCAATGCTAAGAATGATGCTACTGTTTAACAATTCACCTCTGGCATTGCTTCAAATAACGTTCTTCTTCGTTTGGTAAATTCTTTCATATCAGTCAAGATTTCATGCTTTACTTCAGGGGGCAGACTGCTGAAGTCCTCAGATTCAATATCTATTGCCTGAGGGTTATGAAAGAATTCCTCCTGTAAAATATAAAATGCAAAGGAATCAGTGGATATGTGTTGAAATCATAAAATGCAACAACATGAAATTTGCATCTCACACATAGATATTTACTGCACTTATGAACCAGAAGTCTGCCTGCCAGAAAAACTGCCATGTGCATGGTGAGAAAGTTGCCAAAGTGACTGCCGTCCAGCCACAAGTCTGACTGCAATTACAGGAAATCTCAGACAGGATTGCCTGCTGACTGATGAGCCCACAGCACTGTAGTGCACCCAATAATAAATGACCATTTTTACATCACTAATTTACACAATAACAGAATGCTAGAACATAGAAATGATATATGTGTTATATATCATATGCATATATATATAGCACATATGTATACATGTACATAGATATATTTGATACACATACCAAATACACACAAAGTATTCAACTTCTGCACAAATAATAAATTACAGTAACCAGTATGTTATCACATGCATAAGTTATTTGTGGGTGTATATGTGAGTGTTCTACATTTTCTTTTGTTTTTTTTATTTTTTTTTTAAGATTTATTTATTTTTATTACAAAGCCAGATATACAGAGAGGAGGAGAGACAGAGAGGAAGATCCTCCGTCTAATGATTCACTCTCCAAGTGAGCGCAATGGTCGGGCTGTGTTGATCTGGAGCCAGGATCCAGGAATTTCCCTCCGGGTCTCCCACAGGATGCAGGGTCCTAAGGCTTTGGGCTGTCCTCGACGCTTTCCCAGGCCACAAGCAGGGAGCGGGAAGGGAAGTGGAGCTGTTGGGATTACAACCGATGCCCATATGGGATGCCAGCGCGTTCAAGGTGAGAACCCCAGCTGCTAGGCTGCCTTGCTGGGCCCGCTTTCCACATTTTCTATAAAAGTATGCTTTAGTATGCATTTTGTTCGTTGGCTACAAAAGAAGTATGTTAGCTGGACAGGCATAATAGCACATTCCACAGATATCTATTCAAATATAGGTAAGTAGCTTGTATATTTATATACACATATACACCTGTATACTGAATTTGGAAATGCATATGTCCTTATGTTTTATAATGAACTTTCATAACTTCACATTATTTCATTAATATTATTCATTTTCATGTCACTCATTTCAAACTACACAAAACATTCTAACTTCAGAACTTATTGAAATACCTGTAATGCTTGTTTTTGACTCATTCTTTCTTGCCATTCTTTTTCATCTTCCTCTTCTGAACTGAAAATCAAGCACACATATGAAGTATTTCCATTTTCAGTAACTTATAAAAGTATTCCTTGAGTATAAGGAGCTGCTGGTCACAGGAGCTACAATGCTATGTAAGACAGCAAGATTTGTGCCACCACAGGTCTCCCTGTCTGAAGAACAGGTGAAACAGCCATTATAATACGATCTAGTAGCTTCCACGACAAGGAGTAGGTTGATACAGGTGCAAAAAACCAGGCAGAAAACCAAGTTCTCTTCTCACGCAGGATCGAGGAAAAGAAGCTTGACTATGGACAGTGAGAGGAGAAAAGGGATGATCAAGCATAAAAAAATAAGAAGCTTGGAAGTGTTTTAAATCAGAAAATGAAACTCTCAGGCTCATTTTAAGCAGATTCTATAATTTAAAGCAGAGACTGGGCTTGCCAGATTAGAAGCACTGGAAAAGGGTAAGACCAAAGACCAAGCAAGAAGCCTGGAAGTTACTCCTAGACCAAAGGTGATGGTGCTGGTGGCCCAGAAAATAAAGAGAACCAGGCTAATTTCTACAGCTACTCTGCCTCTTGCCGGCTCCTGGGGAGGGAAACAAACTGTCCAGGCTTCCGCTCCTCCTTCTGCACTTCAAACACTGATACCACAGACGATGACAGCATGTCAGACAGGAATACTGAGAGCGGATGGAGAGGTGCCACACAGGACAGCAGGATTCAGTGCTAATGAAGTATACCGAGAAGTACCAAGTCTCTACTGGAACACGCAACAGACAGGCATCATCCAAGGCAATTCAGCCTGGTGGTGAGACAAGAATGGGCTGAGAAGAGAGTAACAAATTTAGAAAATTTAAAAGGAGAGTCTTCGGGCCCAGCGCAGTGGCCTAGCAGCTAAAGTCCTCGCTCTGAATGTGCTGGGTTCCCATATGGGTGCCAATCCTGGTAGCCCTGCTTCCCATCCAGCTCCCTGCCTGTGGCCTGGGAGGGCAGTCAAGGACAGCCCAAAGCCTTGGGACCCTGCACCCATGTGGGAGACCTGGAGGAGGCTCCTGGCTTCAAACTGGCACAGCTCCAGCCGTTACAGCCGCTTGGGGAGTAAATCATCAGATGGAAGATCTTCCTCTCTGTCTCTCCTCCTCTCTACATATCTGCCTTTCCAATAAAGATAAATAAATATTTTTAAAAAAATAAAAAGAGAGTCTTCAAAAATTTTAAATCCAAGTTGCTAGCAGAGACTTCAGAGTCCAAAAAAATGAACTAAAAATAAAAATGATCAGGACAAAAGTTAGTAAATTAAACATATAATTGAAAAATATTTCAAATGCTGTATTTTCAATGTGTTAATAAATTTCCACATGTCTCATTAGGTATATGAAAATCTGAGAAAAGATTAAAATAATATTTAAAATTGTTATTTATTTTTATTTATTTGAGAGGGGCAGAACAAGAAACTGTCCATCCCCTATTTCAGTCCCCAAGCGTGGCCCACAGCCAGTCCAGGTCAGGCCAGATCCAGGAGCCCCATCCGACCACCACGGGTGTCCCCGCCTACTGCCTCCCAGAGGGGACATCAGCAGCATGCCGAACAGCAGCAGAGGGACTGGAACCCACACCACAGCACCCATCCCTGACATAATCTTTAGTAGTTTCATCACTTACCTATGTTTTTCCTCCTCTTGTAAAGGTGGTAAAACGTAGATATCTTCTCTTTTAACTTGGGTAAGACTTGGCAGTGCTTCATTTCTGAAAAGCAGAAGCAGCTTTGAGCACAATGGAATGGACAGTGTGGTGACTACACTAGCTCCGCGCAGGCAGTAAAGAACATACACGGGCACCTTGCACCCGCAGGAGACTGCCCAGCAGACCTGCCTCCCCTCCCTCCTTCCAGCCCTGGCTGTCACTGTGGAAGTCAACACACGGCAATGTAGATGCACAGAAGCTCCTGAGGCGGGCCACAGCCCACCTCACGCTGCAGCATAGACCACTGAGACAGGACAAAGTGTAAGTCGTGCCTCACTCCAGCCTTCCTGCCTCCTTGCGACACTCCTGATACAGAGCTGGCAACACAGGGCAAACACCGGCTCTCCTTCCACTGCCTATTTTCTGCTGAGAGAGAACCAGAGGACTACAACACAAACGGCTCCTGCTCTCCAGGAGTGCTCATCTCTCTTGCCTTTTGCTTCTGAAGGCAGTTTTGAGAGCTTGTCTTTTCAGAAATGTTTTCAGAAGCTTTTCTGTGGTTTTCCTGGAGTCCGTGGATGCAGAATCCTTTCTGTGCCTCCTCTTAGCCTATGAAAACACAGAATAAAAGATGTGACCTCATGGTGTAGATCTATTAAAGACTCCGCAGGGGTTTTTCTTCTACGCTGCTTACTTTGAGTTTTCTTTTTCCTCCTAATTGCAGTAACAACAAATATCTTCAAGTTTCTGCCAAATACAGGACATCCGGAGTTTCTACCTAAATTTTTCTCAGTGGGATACCTCTAATATACTCCAGAAACTTAATTTCTTCCAAAATCCTTTAATGTTCCAAAGAAGCCAAAAATACACTGATACATATTTAAGTAAATGCTTCCCCAAAACAATAACTTTAACTGACCTCTTTTTTTGTTGTTGTTGTTGTTAAACATGGCACTTGTATTTAATTCTGTCCTTCAACATTCAAGACTGCCATAAGAAATCCTAACTGCACATCAAAACATCTTGTAGAAAGCAGTGAAGCCAGGGTAAACAGAATAGTCTCCATGCTTCTGACTGACAGAAGTAACCATGACCTTCTCTTTCCCCCTGGAATCCTCCCAGTAGGTATCCAATACAAAACAGCCTCTGGATCACTGCAAATCAAAGCAGTCACAGCTGGACATTTACACAAGAGCGGCAAAGGTCCCACCGCCCCACTGGTGTGACCATCATACCAGTGCTGAAGGGGTATTTTCTTTTTTTTTTAATTTTATTTTTTTATTTAGAATTTTTGAATTTTGTGGTACAATTTTGTATAGACTGGGATTTTCCCCCAAACTCCCACCCCCCGACAAAGGGGCATTTTCAACACATAAAGACTACTTCCAAAAGTTCGTGAAAATTAAAAAAAAAAAAATGAAATAGAAAAGTGTTTACTCTGCTGGTTTTGTAATCCTTGCATCATTCCCATTCTACAATGTACATTCTCTATAAACTTTTTCAGGCCCATATGCATAGATTTCAAAATTTTTTGCACCAGCATAAATTTATACTTTAATTCTATTTTCCATGATCTTTCTGAAGTATCCTAGTATAAAAGTCGTAAACTCCAATAAATACAAATGGTGCTGTTATTTGGATTTCCAAACATTTTTTTCAACTACTTTCAAAACGAAGAAGCTTACTCCTCATTCTTTTGTATTATGTCCAATTTCCTTCCTGGATAATCATGCCAGTCACCACCAGATGACAGAGAACACTATTCACTTCCAAACCCAACCTCCTTCAAAAGAGGTTTTGCTGGGCCTGGGGTGGTAGAGCTCAGTGACCAAATCCTTGTCTCGCACACCCAGGATCCCATATAGACAGCAGTTCGTTTCCCAGCTGCTCCATTTCTCATCCAGCTCCCTGGTTGTGGCCTGAGAAAGCAGTCTGGGACAGCCCAAAGCCTTGGGACCCCGCACCTATGTGGGAAACACAGAACAGACAGAAGATATTTCTCTCTGTCTCTCCTCCCCTCTGAAAATCTGCTTTCCCAATAAAAATAAATAAATCTTAAGAAAAAGAAAAAATAAATTAAAAGTAGCTTTGTTGGCCCTGGGGTACAGGCCTGTACATGCAGCAGGGTGTTTCCAAGAAGGTCCCCTACCATTCTGACTGGTGGCAGCCCAGCTGGAAAACACATCAGAGAAGAGACTCTGAAGGCCAAGCTGAGATTAAGAACTGTAATTGCTTCAGGAGAAAGTGAAATTTCATCATCACACTCATTAGCTACTCCTACAAATCACTTACAAAAGAAATCATTTTTATGTTTCTTTGTTCAAGATAATTTGAAAAGCAGCTGAAATGGTTATGTATCAAAATGAATTCGACTTTGGCTTCCAAAAAACTTTAGTTGAAGAAATAACAAAATTTTATGTGAACTTTTCTTTTTTTCCAAATATAGAATGAAAACAAAAAAACTAGATAGTACTTACCAAAGTCTGTTTCTTCAGGAGTGGAGCATCCCCATCAAATACAAAAATAGGGCGAATTCGGAAAAATAAGAGTTTGCAGAGGCGATGAAACAATGTGAGAAGGTGAGCGTTCTCAATCGAGTTCCCATGGCGATCACGGACTCCTTTCAGAGCCTGGTTTAACCAGATGCTAATGTCTGGGAGACATGCTTAAGGAAGACACTTTGGAATCTTCCTCCTTCTCCTCACAGCCAGAACCTCCTAGAACCCGACTCAGTCCAACATGGAATCGCGGCTCTCCTGACCACTCCTGGCAGGCGTCTGGCCCCAAAGCAGTGAGTCAGCCGACTTCATGCAAACCTTCTACTGCTATTCGCATACTGAATATTTTTAAATAGGCATGTTCTTGTTAAAAAACAAACTGCAAAGAATGCTTTCTTTCAAAACTAATGAACTAAGGAATCTTAGTAAAGCAACACGTATTTTCCAGGGGATAATTGGTAACTCACAGCAAAAAAAAAAAAAAAAAAAAAAAAAACACTAATAAAAACTTGAATCCTATTTAATCTAAGAATTCTACATTCTACAGCAAGAAATTGCCATGATTTTAACAGGATTCTATTTACAAGAATGCTTGTTTATAATAATTAAACTATGAGAAAACAAAACATTTCCAACAGGTCTTTTCACGAATGAAATCATAATATAGTTCTTTGAATACCAAGGTGTACCAAAAATTGAAAGTTTTGGAGTTATACATAGCGATAAGGAAGATAATTACAAAAAGGAAGTAAAATTTGTTATGAAAGTATATATATAACACTTCTAATTATATTATATTTGATGTTAAATATAAAAACTGGATATTTATGCCCACAATCTTATCAATGATTATTTCTGCTAATTAAAGGTAGTTTATTTCCTTCTTGGTATTTTCTTATATTTTTAGTTTTTCCTAACACATGCCTCCAAGTATTTTTATTAGAGCAATAGAGACCTTCCAGCTACTGGTTCACTCCCCAAGTGTCCTGGGAGCCAGAGCTGAAGCAGACAGCAGCTAGCAATCAGCACTCCGTGTGGGTATCCCTGTGGGCATCAAGGATTGAAGCACTTAACCACCCTCATTGACTCCAGGATGCATGTTAACAGGAGCTGTGGATTCAGACAGGGGATGTGGGTGGCCTCAACAGTGGCCTGATCCGTTGCTCTGCAAGGCAGACTCCTCAAAAAATGCTGCTTTTCAAATGCATGCCACTTGTCCATTATAAAGAAGGCCCCAGCACTCTGCCAAGTGCCTCAAACTCACCGTTAATTGCTTGGGTCCTCAACCATCCTTCTGTGGCCCTCCTCTTTCCTTCTATCTCCATACCTAATGAACCTGACTCGTGTCCCACCCCACAGCACATCCTCTCAGCAAGGTACGCCTGGACCAGAGCTTGCTCGGAAGTCCACATCCACCAGCCTGCCTAGCATTTCTACATGACACTATATATTATCTGAACAAAACAGTAAACAGGACACTCAACCCTACAAATAGTAAAGATCAACTTATTTTAGGGATCCAACAGTAAATTATGAAACTGGTAGTCATACATAAGTTGCTCTTTCACAAACAAAAGATATATATGTGTGTGTACAGATCTATGTATCTACAGATATATCAGACATAGATCTATATGTATTTAAACACATAACTACATATATCTATAGACACACACATACATTTCAGCTGTCTGAATCCCCATTAATATGGAACAAAAGGGAGGTAAGTGGTCTAACAGACTCTCCCTTCCCATTCAGCTTCCTACTGAGGGAGGCAGCAGTGCTGGTCCCTGCCACCCAGTGGAGGACCAAAGTGAGAGTTCCAGGCTCCTGGCTTCAGTCTGGCCCAGCAGCTATAGGAATCTGCCAGAGCAACAGCAGACAGAAGATCCATCTCTTCCCACCTCTTTCTTCACCGTCCCCCAACCTCACACAAAAAAATCTTTAAAAAATTTAACGAAGCAACAAAGTCAACTGTTGACTGAACACTAACTAGTACACACTGCATCTAAAATGATCACCGTAACCAATCATCGTGACTTTGAAAGTCTGCTGTAAAAAAGGGTTTTCTTGTTTGTTTGTTTTTCAGGAAAGCACAATAACTTCTTAAAAATCGCTTTGAAATTTCCAGAGTTCCGTTGTCTGAATAACCTCCTTGCATCCACCAGTAATTCTAGGGAAATCTTTAGAATGCAATGATGCCGTGAGACCACTGGGTGGCAGCCATGGCATACATTCTTTTACAAACAAAACAAAACAAAATCCCTTACTTTCCGGAACTCCAAGTGCCCCGCATTAAAACCTTCAAGGCAAAAATTCATTACCAACAGATTTGCAAGTTATTCACTCATCAAAAAAATAAACTGGCCATACTTCAGAAATGATGAGTGTTCCAATATTCCTGAGCGGTGTTATGTAGGAAGAACTGGGAAGAACTGCCTTCCGTGCTGAAGTCGCACATTCTGGAGCAGTGGCCTCCCTTCTCACCCCGCCCCTCGGTGTTTACATAACACTTCCCACCGTGCGGGCTTGGTGTTTCCATGACACTTCCCACCGTGTGGGCTTGCGGGCCGCGTTGTGAAAACGGGTGTGCCTGAAACAGCACAGCTAGCTGTATTAAAAAAAAACTTTAGTATGAATAAAAATTCCAAAATTAAATATGTTTAACTCCAATGACAAGCGAATCAGCAAAACGTGCACAAAAAAGTCAAACCCGGAGTTCACGGTAAAGCTTCTGAAATTGTTACAATACTCCATTTCATATTTCTAACACTACACTTTAAAAATAAAGTGTCTTGTCCACACTTATCCTGCCTTCAAGAAGGGCAGCCGGGAGCAAGGCTCGGGCAGCAGGAAATGCGGATGGGCCAAGTACTCAGGACTTAGCCTGTCACTACGGCAATACTCGCCCAGCTCTGTCCACTCGGTCACTCCGCGGTCACCGCACTGTCCACTCACACACGGTCACTCCACGGACACGCACTGTCCACTCACACACTCGATCACTCCGCAGACACGGCACTGTCCACTCACACACACGGTCACTCCGCGATCACCGCGCTGTCCACTCACACACGGTCACTCCGCGATCACGGCACTGTCCACTCACACACACGGTCACTCCGCAGACACGGCACTGTCCACTCACACACACGGTCACTCCGCGATCACCGCGCTGTCCACTCACACACGGTCACTCCGCGATCACGGCACTGTCCACTCACACACACACGGTCACCGCACTGTCCACTCACACACGGTCACTCGCAATCACGGCACTGTCCACTCACACACGGTCACTCCGCGATCACGGCACTGTCCACTCACACACGGTCACTCCACGATCACGGCACTGTCCACTCACACTCGGTCACTCCGCGATCACGGCACTGTCCACTCACACACACACGGTCACGGCACTGTCCACTCACACACACACGGTCACCGCACTGTCCACTCACACACGGTCACTCGCGATCACGGCACTGTCCACTCACACACGGTCACTCTGCGATCACGGCACTGTCCACTCACACACACACGGTCACGGCACTGTCCACTCATACATGGTCACTCGCGATCACGGCACTGTCCACTCACACACGGTCACTCCGCGATCACGGCACTGTCCACTCACACTCGGTCACTCCGCGAACACGGCACTGTCCACTCACACACGGTCACTCCGCGATCACGGCACTGTCCACTCACACACACACGGTCACGGCACTGTCCACTCACACACGGTCACTCCGCGGACACAGCGCTGTCCACTCACACTCGGTCACTCCGCGATCACGGCACTGTCCACTCACACACACACGGTCACGGCACTGTCCACTCACACACGGTCACTCCGCGGTCACCACGCTGTCCACTCACACACACGGTCACTCCGCAGACACGGCACTGTCCACTCACACACGGTCACTTCGCGGTCACCGCGCTGTCCACTCACGGGCGGCAGCGGCCACGGCGCCCCGGGAAGCCCGCCACCCCACGAGGCGTCAAGGATACCGACAGCCAGAATCTTGCCTTCCAGCGTCTCGGGGCTGACCTGCCGCCCGGAGCACTCCAGCAGCTTCCACAGGCCCTGGACTCCCATGGGGCAGGCGACTCCTCACAGCCGGAGACCGCGGGCTGCCCTTCCACCTCAGCGAACGCCGCTGCCCCGGGCTGACAGGAAGGGACGCGCGACCCGCGGCTTCCAGGAGGATGAGGCTCCGCGCGGAGCCGAGAGCGGCCGGCTGCGGGAGGCGGCGGGGCTGTGGCGCAGACGCTCGCACTCGTGAGCGAAACCGAGATGAGGAGACTGAGCGCAAAACCGAAAACCACAAGTCCCTGACAAGGTCCGCACACCCACCCGGAACCCGGCCGCTCCGCTTCCGCTTCAGCACCCACGGGGCGGAAGCCCTGCCGCCCCGCTCTGACGTACAACGACTGCGCCCGTCGTACTCCGGAAGTGAGTCGGGGCTCCAGTGCGGCATGACTTCCTGCTGAAGTGGTTTCCTGCGCAGTTTTCAGCATCAGTTTCCGCCGCCTCCACGCGCAGTGAGGATTGGGTACCAAGTTTTGTTTCACGCGTGAAGAAACAACACAAAGATGGCTTGTTTGGTGTGTCTAAATTAGTAACTATTTGCAGTATAGCATGATAATTAGTATTGCAGCTTAAGGCTCTAATCCTTGTAATACAGTGTTTGTTAGAATCTGCAAGTGAGAAATCACCCGGTTGTGCGTCAGAAAAGACATGGAATTGCCACAGTAACACCTGAATGTCCTCGGCTCCAGAACCCTTAAGTCTAGAATCAGATAGCCAACTTTATAGTAGTTACATTGTTAGTATCTGCCCTTATCCTTAAAAACCACGTCAAACAAGTGTTTGTTCCTGAGGATTAGAGGTGCTATATACAAAGCACTCAGACCTAGTAGCTCTGTGATAAATGATACTAGCTCACAATGATATGGCACCTACTGTGTTGGTAACTCAAACCAACTCGGTAAGAAAGTTTGTTTTTATATTTGAACTACTGTATTGAAATTAGATCCAAATGCAGAAAGACTGCCTTGAAGGAGCAAGTTTCTTTAGACGAAATCTTGTAACTTGCTCATCTTACTGCTCTAATAATTCACTGGTGCCATTCCCATTTTACTGTATCATAGGTAAAAAAAAAAAAAAAAACCTTGCTGGGATTACAGGGCGTCTTAGTTTGCTAAAACTGCTATAACAAAATGCTGAAACGAGTTGCCTTCTATGATTGCAAGTCATTGCAGGCATGGTCTCTTTTGATTGCTCTCCCCATGGCTCACATGTGGCCGCCTTTGACATAGCCTCAGAGAGCCTTTTCTGTGTGGAGGTATCCCTGAAAACAGGATGAAAAATAGCTACTGTGGATATCTGATTATTCTGTATCCTTGTGAAACCACAGCAACTTGGGCCTGGCATGGTAGCCTAGCAGTTCAAGTCCTCTCTTTGCATATGCTGGGATCCTGTATGGGCTCCAGTTCTAATCCATGTGGCCCCGCTTCCCATTCAACTCTGTGCTTGTGGCCTGGGAGAGCAGTTGAGAACGAGAAGGGCCTTGGGACCCTGCACCTGTGTAGGAGACTCGGAAGAGGCTCTTGTCTCCAGATCAGCACAGCAATGATTGTGGCCACTTGGGGAGTGAATCAATGCACACAAATTCTCTTCTCTGTCTCTTGTCCTCTCTGTATATCTGACTTTCCAATAAAAATACAAGTCCCACAGGTTAGCTCGCAAGCTGGGGTGGCAAAGGGCTAAGCTAGGAGTGACCCTGGCACCTGCCATCGTTCACAGGTAAAGGAACCCACAATGGTCTGGGCAGGTCAAGGCAGCAGCACCCAAGTATGCAACCTAAAACAGGGTGTGGGGTGGGTCGGGCTGCAACTCGAAGGGGAAGGACTGGGCAGGGCTGAGCAAACCTTAAGTCACAAGAAAGAACAGAAATCAGGCCGGAGCACAGGTCATGCCGAGTAGGCCCTTGCACCAACTGATCTGCCTGAGCCAGGGACGCTAAGCCCAGGGCCAGGGCAGGTGAGGGTTCTGCCAAGCTGAGTCAGAGCAACCACCGGCCTGCACGTGATCTAAGGCTGGAAATAGGCCCGGTTGGGGAGCTAAGGGGACACCCTAGCTAGGTTGAGTTTCCCACCATGGAGTACACGGGCTGGAATAGGGGCTGTGTTCTGATCAGGACATGGTTGTAGTCTCCCTTGGCACAAGTGTGGACTGGGACTAGATGCGCCAAGCCAGGTCAGATTCCACCACCGTCTGGTGTTCTGGAGGACCAGGATAGATGTGGGACAGTCTAGGCTAGGTCTCAACCCCTACTTAAGCCATGTGTGAGCTGTATGTGGGTATGTATGAGCTGTGACTGGGCTGAAACATCCAACAGCAAGAACCAGATTGGGTTGAAGGGCAGTCAGGAAAAGCCACTGTTCCTGCTGGGACAGGAGGTGAACTGAGTAGGGCTGGCCCATAGACTCCCTGGTATGCACAAAATCTGGCATTGGGAGAGGTTCTGATGGAGGAGCCTGGGCAAACCATCTGGCAGGACACAGACCCGGTAGTTAAGCACAAGAAGCACGATAGGAAACAGCCCAGAACAGGCTATGGAAATTATCCCACTGGCATACGTTTGGCATGGGTTGGGGGCAGACCAGGCTGAACCACTCCCATTGGAAAGCGTGAGTCGGGATGGGGACAGCCCAGACTAGGCAGGGGTACAACCCTGTGGGCCTCATGTAAGCTAAATAAGAAAGGGGTCAGGGTGGGCTGACTGTTCCAACTGGTGCAAGCAGTGGGTGAAGGATGGTTGGGCTTAGCTGCAGCATCAGCTGGCAGAGGCTGGCACTGGGAGCTAATTCTGTCAAGACAAATGCCAGAACCACCTGGAGAGTGCATAATCTGGGAGTGGAAGTGGCCTAGTAGGGAGATAGTAGGCACCTCCCTCTTGGGTTACCACTCTTACTGGAGAGCACCAAAACCAGGACAGGGGCAGGGGTGACTAGACAGAAAGGCACCTGCCAGTATGTGTGTGGGCTGGATAGTAGGTTGGTTGGGTTGAACTAGGCTTCAATGCCCATTGACACATACAAGAGCTAAATGGGATGTGGGACAGACTGGACAAGCCTGCGGTACATACTGGCAAGCATGGGAACCAGGGTAGGGGGCAGAACTGGTGGGGGTTTTGGGGAGTCACCCCAACTAGGCTGCAGTTCCCACTGGTTTGCATGAGGACCAAGTATGAAGTGGGTAGCATCGAGCTGGACCATAACACCCATTGGTTCATGAGGAAGACGGGACTGGAAACAGAACTGACCCAGCAATTGCAACGACCAGCCTGTGCATAAGCTGATTGGTGTGATGGACGGTGTTGGACCCAGTATTGGCAAACTCATGCAAGAATCAAGTTTGGGATCATCTCAGATGAAGTTTCTTGGAAGATCCCTCCAACTGAACTGCTGATCTCAGAACCCCAACCATGAAGAGACTATGTCAGCCAGTGGACTCTGAATAGGTTTCATCGAGATTGGAACAGCGAGATTGGCAGCAATCCAGAACTGTTCAACTATCAAAACTGCTTAAGCAAGACCCTCAGAGCACATCTCAGACTGGGGATCTAGGATGGGTGGGAGGCTGGGTGGGGCTTTTCCTCTGTTACTCCCCTAACCCCAGATACAGGGAAAAAATGATAATATTAGCGTGGAAACAATGGTATTACCCACTTTCATTGTGCAACCCCTGGCCCTTTGTACCCTAATCAACTAAGTAAGATTATTAAAAAAAATTTTTTTAAAAAACCACAAAAGCTATTTTCTTATGTAATACTTTCAAAGGAAGAGCAATTAAGGATTGTATATTTGCATTGAAAAGAATTATTTCCTTTAGAAGATGAATAAAGCACTGTATTAGAAAGAATTTGTGGGGTTCCCACCATGGTGTAATTAGCTAAGCCACTACCACAGTGTTGGTATCGCATATGGGTGCTCGCTCATATCCTGGCTGCTCTATTTCCCATTCAGGTCCGTGCTTGAGGCCTGAGCAAGCAGCAGAGAATTGGCAAAAGCCTTGGGTCCCTGCCCCAATGTGGAAAACTCCTGGCTCTTGGCTTCAGATTAGCTTAGCTCTAGCCGTTGCAGCTACTTAGGAAGTGAGCCAGCGGACAAAAGATCTTTCTCTGTGTAGCTACTTCTCTCTCTAAAATATGGCTTTCCAATAAAAAATAAATCTTTAGGAAAAAAAATCAAAATTTCTATTACCTAGTATAAAGTCTTGCAGAAATCTAAAGTTATAGCCATAGTAGATATTGTTTCATTGACTATAAAAACAGAATTCAAGATAATTCCTTAAAACACACTGGTGAGGCCAAAGTGAAAACGTACCATGTACTTCAAAGTTCTGAGGGTACCCCCTCCCTAAAATAAATTTTCAAAAACATTCAGATGATTAAAAGTAGAAAAACAAAACTTTATTAGATGAAAACCTTTTAAAAGTTCCAGTATGAAGTAACCAAATTGACAACCTACAAATATCTTTCAGTCATTTGCATTTCAAGCAAAATATTCTCTTCAGAAAAGTGACCATTTTATAATATATATCCCCTTCTGTAGGTTAGGTGTGTATGAATGAATAAATGGATATAAAATTCAAGAGAAAACAATGAAAATATTTTTTAAATAAAAATCTGAACCCTCTCCTTGAGGTGTATTGCGATATGGTTACCAACGTATTCAGCACCTTGTCATCACCAAGTTACTGATCTGAGTCCTCAAACAAGACCCTGAAATAAAACAACACACACGAGTCACTTGTGAGTCACAAGTTGACAAGAAAACCTAACAGCAGCTAGAGAGCAGTTCAAATGTATGAGAGTCACAATTTGAGATACTTAGCACTTCAAACAGCTCACTATCTATCTGTTGTTTTTTTTTTAAAGCTCAGATTCTGTGTAAAGGGTCCCATGAGTGACTTTCTGCATTCCTAACGCATCCTCAATGCACCTGTCACATAGGACTCCATAGTGAAGGACCAGTCAAGTCGCAAAAGATCTGGCTTCACAGATTACACGGGGAATAGAGACAACAGATATCACTTCCTCTTTATCATTAAAACAAAAGATAATTTTAGACAAAGACAGCTTTCAAGACCCACGATTTCTGTCAATCTCAAGTCTAGAATATCTGAATCAGTGAAATAAATTATACACTTGCACCCATAGGGAAAAAAAAAACCATGAATTTCTTGAGTGTTTTCTCTTTTGCCCCTCCATCAAAATTCCTGAGAAAATTCATCAGGAAACAAATGAGGCAGGGAGATACTGAAAGAGGCAAA